CCCCCCCCCCCCCCCCGCCCGGCGCGGTCCACGCACCTCGCTCGGCTTCTTGTTGCGCAGCTCCAGCGTCAAGCGCTTCTCCATCTCCATGCTCCCCGCGCAGAGCCGCGCTCTGCTCTCCGCTGCCGCTCCCGCCGCTGCCTCCGCCCCGGTGGTGCCGCCGCTCCGGCCCCGCCACTCCCGGTCCCGGTGCCGCTCCCGCCCCCGCCCGGCGCAGGAAGAGGCGCCAACGGCAACAAAGGCGGGCGAGCCACGCGCCCCCCGGCGGCCACCGAGGGAACTGCGGCACGGGCAGGGGCACAGCGACACCTGCGGGCGCCCCCGGGGGGCTGCGGGTTCGAGTCCCGCCCCGGCGGGGACGGCCCGCGACAGCACCCGTGTCACCCGGCCCCGCCCAGCCCGGCCCCGCATCGCTGAGCCCGGCAGCGCGCAGCAGTCCCCGGCACCACGGTCACGTCTGCAGCACCGTGATCCACCCTCCGGAGCCGCGTTCCCATCCCCGGGCACCGTGGTTACTTCTCCGGAATCATGGTTACTTCTCCGGAATCATGGTCCCTTCCCCAGCACCACATTCCCACCTCCGGAGCTGCGTTCCCATCGCCAGGCACTGTGTTGCAGTCTCAGCACCGTGTTCCTATCCCCCAGACACGACAGTTCCTTCTCCATCACCCTGTTCCCGTGCCCAGAGCCACATCCTCATTCTCAGACACCATGGTTCCTTGTCTTCCTCTATCCCCATGTTCCTGTCTCCAGAGTCACGTTCCCATCCCAGGCACCGTGGTCCCTTCTCTGTTTTCCCATTCCAGCCTCCAGAGCCACATTCCCATCCTCAAGCACCGTGTTCCCATCCCCAGGTGCTCTCTACAGCTCCCTGACAGGACCTTTGTAGCCAGTGAGGCCTGACCCCTTCACTCAAGTCACCACCAGCAAAGGAAATGGCCTCAAGTTGCACCAGGGGAGGTTTAGATGGAGATTAGAGGAAATTCCTTCGTGGAAAGGGTGGTCAGGCACTGGTACAGGCTGCCCAGGTGGATTCACTTCCCTGGAAGTGTCCAAAAGGTGTGTGGATGTGGCACTTGGGGACATCGGTTAGGGGTGGCCTTGGCTGTGTTGGGTTAATGGTTTGACCTGATGATCTCAAAGGGCTTTTCCAACCTCAACAATGTTCCAACCTCATCCTATGTTCCCATCCCCAGTGCCACACTCTCATCTCCATCCCCACATTCCCATTCCCAGCATTACTTTCCCATCCCCAGCCCCGTGTTCCCATCTCCATCCCCACATTCTCATCCCCAGCCCCATGTTTCCACCTCTATCCCCACATTCCCATCCCCACATTCCCATCCCCAGTGAAACATTCCCATTCCCACATTCCCATCCCCATCCCAGGTCCCTTCTCCCAGCCCAGCAGAGGCTTTTCCTGCCCATGGCTGATAAGGGCAGGGTGTTGGTCGGGCTCCTGGCTGAGGGAAGGACGAGATAACAGTGGGAACTCCCAGCACTGTGGGGCTGGGATGGTGTTTTTCCCTCCTGGAGCACACAGAGCTCTCCCTGGCCAGGCACAAACTCTGGAGCTGGGAATGCTGCTGCTGCCAGAGGGTCAGGAGAGGGTCAGCAGGGCGAGCACAGCCCGTGGCCCAGGCAGTGGCCTCGAGCCCAGCTGCCCTTCAGGGGTGTGATGGAGCTGGTTGGACTCGCTGAGGGCTCAGGAAAGCCCCTCACCACGACACCAGGCACAGGAGGAAAATTCCTGCAGGATGTGGGCACTGCTGCCTGCAGCTCCACTAAAAATCAGCAGAAAGGGCAGCCAGAGAAACCTCTCTGATCCATGACCAAGGCTCCAAATAAACAGGAACACGAGGGCCAGCGAGCCCGACCCTGCTGTCCCTCATTGTCCCCTCTGGCAGGAGGCCATGGGCCTGCCTTGTATGGGAGGAAATGGCTTTTCTGGTCCTCTGCAGATCAGTTTTGCCACTTGGCTCCAACACCAGCCTTGTTTCATTGGGAGGAGCAGAGTGAAGTGGTGACAATCAGCAGAGGGGTTCAAGCTCCGGAGGGACCAAACTCATTACTTTTAAGAGCACACAAGGGATGTCTCCACTCATAAAAATTGCCTTTAATGCATTTTTGGCACCTCTGTGACCTCCCTTGCTGACCATGGCTGGGTTTCTCCAGCCCAGCTCCATGGCAGGGAGCTCCCACACCAGTGCCCCCCTCCAGGGTTGTGCCCCTGAGGAACCCCCCAAAACACCCAGCGTGGAGCTGAGCAGAGGCAATGGAGGGTCAGGAGTGTTTTGAGGAGGCACTGAAGGGGCAGGAGAGCAGCCCATGGCTGGGGAAAGAACATCCTCATCCTGGGCCCTGCCCAGGCCAGTCACATCCCCACGGGGGAAGCAGCAAGTGGGGCGTTGATTCTAATTGGAGATGTCCCTGCTGATCGCAGGAGGGGTTGGACCAGGTGACTTCTGGAGGTCCCTTCCAACCCAAAACATTCTATGATTCTACGAATGTAAATTATTATGTTATTGGAGTACAAGTTTAAATTAATTGTTTATTTTCACCCCATGAATCATGGGATCGTTTAGGCTGGAAAAGACCTGTGAAGATCACCGAGTCCAGCCGTAAGGCCAAGGCCAGGTTGGATGGGGCTTGGAGCAACCTTGGATCTGGTGAAAGGTATCCCTGCCCCATGGACTTGGATGAGCTTTAAGGTCCCTTCCTACCCAAGCAATTCCAGGATTCTCTCACCATCGAGTCCAGTCGTAACAGGGACTCTCTTTTTCGAGGTGATTTCCAGGCTCCTCTGGCTCTTTTTGGCTTCAGTCTGGAGTGAAAGCAGGACCGAGGGGTCCCTGCATCCCCCCCGGACATCCCCCCCTCTGGCCGCAGCAGCAGCTCCGCAGCCCCCGGACAGCGCAGCTGGGAGATGAGCGCGGCGATTCCCCCCCATCGCTGATCTCCATTTGTTTGAAGGTTCTTTCATGTCCCCTTTGAGGCTCGTTTCCTGTCCTTTGTAGCGAACAATGGTGTGCGTCTCCCCTCCGCCCGGCCCTGGGTGGTTTTATCTCCCCTCCCCTGGGCCGCCTCTCCCTCGGGAGCTGAGCTTTGTGTTCGCCTTCAAATAAAAACCCCGCTCCGCTTTCGCCGAAATTGATTTGAAAGCTGGGGCCGGGGAGTGGATGTCTGGGAGATGCATTTGCAGGGATCTAGATTTTCTGTGTTTGGACAGATTAACGCCAAGCCCGTAATTTACTGCGCGGGTGACAGTCCTGGGAGGCCGGACTGGAACTGCTGACAGGGGCTGAAATTCAGGTCTGGAGCTTTTCAGGCAAGCTGGAGCACAGATGCCGGGGGGGGGAAAACGTATTATCTGTCTGTTATACAACACAATATTATCTGCTTGGGGTTTACAAGGCGTTAACTACTTCGGTCCTCACCCGGTACCTCCTCAGAGTCGGTCCTGGCTGTGCCACAAGGACTTGCTCTGTACCTTCCTCTCCTCAAAACAGGGAGGAGAGTCCCTCAAAATCTCCTTGGTGGCTGTAGATCCGCAGCCACCGGTCCTGCTGGGATCCAGCTGGGTGTTAAATCAGCTGCAGGAGGTTCTCCTGCAGGAGCCAGGGGGGCTGCACAAGCCCCCAAGTAAGGGCTGGTGCCTGCTTGGCTGGGCTGTTCCACCACGGATATTCCTCCACATCCTGGGCTGGATTATCCCAGCAGCATGTGCAGGGTGAAGAAGGGGGTTCTGCCCCTCTGCTCTGCTCTGGTGAGACCACCCCTGCAGAGCTGCCTCCAGCTCTGGGGCCCTCAGCACAGGAAG